AAACTTTTAGCTGTGCATTCAATTTATTTAGTCTTTTAAAATGAGTCTTTTGTATGAGTCTATTTGAAAATGCCTTACCACAAATTTGTTTCACAAAGATCTAATTAATGATAAATCTCACCTTGACTGTTCATTAATTTTCAGTGTCTGTTTCATATAAAACAGGGATCATGATCCCTACTTTATAACATTGTTGTGAGCATTAGATCAGATAACATCTGCATAAGATCCTATTACTGGCTTATAAAAGATTTTCTTAACAGTGGGTTGAAATCAAACATTCTGCCTATAATTTTGTTGAACACTGTTTGACATTAGGCAATAATCAGCCTAAACCTTTGACAGTCATCATGGGGTTGTTATTGTTACCTGCCGTAAAGTTCACCTGACTCATGGTGACTCCATGCACAACAGAAGAAACCTGCTGGCTCCTGCATTCCCCCAGTGGTCAGTGGTGGCTCAGACCGCGGCAGTCCCTAGGTTTTCAGTGGCTGATTTTCAGAAGTAGATTGCCAGGGCTTTCTTGTCTTAGACTGGCCACTCTCTTGAGATCAACATAAAGTACCATGTGCCATCTTTGAAAGTAAGTTCACTCAGATTTCTTGTGTTCTTGTTAAAGTATGTTCTGAGGTGGCACAAATACTTTGCGCTTGACTGCTGACTGAAAGGTTGATGGTTCAAGCTCACCTAGAAGTACCGTGGTAGAAGAGGCCTGGCAATCCACTTCCATTAAGATTACAGCCAAGAAAACTCAGTTTTACTCCATATCACATGGGGTTACCATGAGTTGGAATTAACTGAATGATAACTTAACAACAACATTATAGGCAAACAAAGTGCATCACTTGGGGCCCTTCCCGCCTTATTTTCAGAATACCATCACTTGTGCATGTGTATGTATATACATATGTGTTTTGGTTGCATTAAGTATAAATGTATTGACTGTTGTAGGCCTGGCAGAATAAAGTAGTTGCTTTGCAAATGGAGAACCTGAAAGACTGAAGAGCTGTTGTTTCCCATAGTTACAGTTTTGGTGTTAGTGCTTTAGAATGCAACATTATGCTCCATTAGAAGAACATCCCTGAACAAATGAGCTGCAACTAATCCTAACTCAAATAAACCTGCCCCATAATCTGTCTCTCTTTACAGAGTTAACCCTGTGTCTTAATTGACTCATTTGTTTAAATGAAGGGGTGGGGCCAGATGAGTCCTAAAGCTCCTTTAGCATTTATGTGCTATTTTTCTCAGCTCTCAGCTCTCCTGGTTCATTTGTTCTGTCTGCCTCTTAAAAGTAGCATAAGCCATTTTGTTATATCAGTAGACATCACTTTTTACTACATTGGTGAAAGATCATTGTTTTAGAAGATACCTGAAGGGGGAGATCTTTTCTTTCCGATATCTTTTTGTCATGTAAACTGAATTTGGGGTGGGTACAATTAGATGCTTTTTTTAGTTAGCTAAAGAGCCCTGATGGTGCAGTAGTTAAGCGCTTGGCTGCTCACCAGAAGATTGGTGGTTTGAAACCACCAGCCTCTCTGCAGGGGAGAGATTGCAATCTGCCCCATAAAGGTTTACAGCCTTGGAATCCCTGTCATTGTGAGTCAGGACCAACTCCAAGGCACAGTGATTGATTTTTTATAGTTACATGGGTCAAATCCTATTAGAGTAAATACAGCCTTTTAAGTAAATTCAGTGCATGCACATGTACATTTATTCTTTAGCAATAGTGATAAGTGTGGACTGAGGCTGGTGACGTAACTTTACTCCCTGCCTACTCCTTGTTAATACCCAGACCAGACAGGTCTCCACAGCTGGAGAAAAATAATTTTAAAAAGTGCTTTCAGGCCTTATTTTAACAGTGAGGAACCCTGGTGGCATGGTGCTTAAGTCCTTGACTTAACTAAACGGTCAGCAGTTTGAACTTACCAGTCCCTCCGTGGAAGAAAGATGTGGCAGTCTATTTTCATAAAGATTACAGCCTTGTAAACCCTCAGCTCTGGTAGCATAGTGCCTAAGGCACTTGACTGCTAACCAGAAGGCTGGAGGTTCAAACCCACCAGCCACTCCTCAGAAGGAAGGTTGGGCAATCTACTTCTGTAGTGATACCACCTGGAAACCCAAGGAGGGGTCTCTATGAGTCAGGTCCGACTTGATGGCAAATAACAACAACAATAAAAACCCTAAGGGGCAATTCTACTGCATGCTATAGGGTCACTATGAGATGGAATTGACCTGATGACAATGAGTTTGTTTTGTTTTTCAGACTTAACAGGGTCAATGGATCGTGCCATCCAGCCATCTCGCTGTACAACCTGCTCTTTCATTCTCCTAGATAAATATTTCGCATTTTCTCTTCTCAACCATTAGCAACCTTCCTCTTTTCATTGAGAAAATGAAAAGCAACCTAAAGGCTACTAGTGTCCTCTCCCTAATCTACTAACTACCTGTCTCTGCACCCAGTACTCTGCAGACTGCAGTGATTAATATGTCTTGTTAGTATCTAAGACTGGTCCTGGTACTCTAAACTTACCCATGATTCAATCCATTGTTTCAACCTGTATTTGATTATAAGGCTATCACTAGCCAACATTTAAGCATATTTTCTATGCAGCAGACATTGTGCTAAGATTATCTAGTTTAATCCCCACAATAGCCCTATTCAGTATACGTTATTATCCCATTATACAAAAAAGAAATGAGGCTCAGTGAGCTTAAGAAACCAGCTAAAGTTAGGAAGTGGCCGCACGGGGATTGGATCTCACTGTGCCTGACTCCAGGACCTAACTTCTTCAGAATGATGCAATGCAGTTGCTAAAATAAAAGCCTCCTGGAGATCCTTGCTATGTGATATCTGCACATATGGTCATTTATGTTTATAAACTATTTAAAAGTATTTAATAAATAATGTTTAGTTTTAGAAATCAGGTTTTGTGATTGTTAAACAGTAAAATGGTAATGCATATAAATAATATGCTTTTTCTTTTTAAATTTTGAGGTAAAAGTTAAGTCATAATTCTTTGCTTAATGACCTAGGAGAGCTCTTGTGGTCTGTCTGGTTCATATAAACATGTTCTTACACCCAAACCAGTGAGCTGTTGCTATGGTGTAAAAGCTTTTGTGTGTGAGTACATAGATACGGATAACCCAGAGCTGCAGTTTGGAGGGGCTCTGGGCTGCTTCTCAAGAAGGCCTCTTTTGAGGAAAGTGAGAGATGAATCCTCCACTTCAAGCTTTTACACTTAACTTTGCAGTAGACTGTTGCTCTCCATGAAAACAGCTTCAAACTCGAAAACAGAAATGCTATGAAGGCAGATAAAACAATGAATGAAAGTAGAAAAACAATGAATCCATCCTTAGTCCTACTCTTTGTTTTCTGGTTTTGTAGAAGAATGGTGCTAAATCAGAGTTGGGGACTCAAAAGAGCCTCCTTTCTGGTTCTTCGCTTCACATCATACTTACTCTATTGGCCCACTGTTTGAGGTGTGAGTTCCCTTACTGAAGAAGATCTGAGTGATGACTGGACATCTGGTTGTTTTTGGCCACACAGAAAATTGATAAAACTGACACTTCTCTGATGGTTCCACATGCCTGTGAAGTGAGCAGTAGCTGTCAGTTGCACTTGCTCCCAGAGGAAGGGAGGTCTAGATTGCAAACTATATGCTGTGCTGGGTTTTAGCAGGAACTACTATTTTTACAGGAGCTCTGTAGCGTAGTGCCTAAGGCACTTGACTGCTAACCAGAGGGCTGGTGGTTCAAACCCACTGGTCACTCCTCAGAAGGAAGGTTGGGCAATCTAATTCTGTAGTAATACCACCTCGGAAACCCAAGGAGGGGTCGCTATGGGTAAGAGCCGACTCAACAGCACATAACAACAACTATTTTTACAGTCTAGAAAGTTGTGATGCCCTAGGGAAGCTAGTAACCAAATTATATGAAGCTCAATTCTGTTAATTAATTCAGATAATATGCTGAAAATTGACCTACTTATCTCTATATCAATAGGGATACATATGTGTTTTTCTATTCTACCTTAAGTTTTAAAAAGTGTTTCACCTTCAAGATAGACTGTTGTCTAATCCACTCTGGGGAAAAAAAAAAACCACTGTAGAAGAACTTTTCTGAAGTTCTAGTGGTGAACAAATGTCAGAAATTTGAATATGAAATAATCAGAAAAACACTGCATTCCTGAATTCATAGCATGATAGCATGTGATGTTTTTTGTTGATCTTATCCACTCCTCGGAAGGAAGGTTGGGCAATCCTACTTCCGTAGTGATACTGCCTCGGAAACCCAAGGAGGGGTCGCTATGAGTCGGGGCCGACTCGACGGCACATAACAACGTAACAACAACATCTAATGTGAGGGAAACTACCCCGTTGTTGTATGGTATTTTCTTAATACCACAACTTGTGCTTTAGATTTTGATTTCTTACTGATTTTATACTTTGTGTTGAGATTGTGTAATTAATTTCTTGGATTCATTTTAGTTTCAAAATACAGTGTATTGTAAGGCGTTGAAAGTATGCTTCTAATCCAGAATTTCCTCCCTCCCCAAAGTATCTCTTGACCTAATTACAAAAAAAAAAAAAAAAAATTGAGAGTTAATTTTTTAAAGTTACAAAAAATAATTAAGGTTGTCTTTAGACGAGAGTGTTTATGAGCAGAGAAACAAGATAGGAAGTGACAGGAACAGACCATTAGTAGCCCTCCTCAGGATTTTCCAGTATTTTTATTGTGTTCTTTCACTTTTGAAGGCTTTGTGTCATGACCTCTTGAAATTTTTTTTTTTCTTTTCCAACATCTGCTACCTTTTAAATGGAATTATTTCTTTGGTATTTGCAGTGTTTGGGAGATGCTTTGAACATACCCAGCTATTGTTCCCAAGCAACTGACTGGGTTAAATTTGTGATTGGGCTCTCATGCTGTGAACTTAATCATCAACTCTTTTGACTTTAAAATAATTGTCCTTTATTTCACTGTTCTCTTCAAAATAAAACCAGGCTGCAGATACTCTGGCTGTAAGGCAAAAAAGAAGGATATATGATATCACCAATGTCTTGGAAGGAATTGACCTGATTGAAAAAAAGTCAAAAAATAGCATCCAATGGAAGTAAGTTACAAACTGTAACTTTTAAGACACTCTTATTTTTCTTCTCAGTGCTCTATAAAGTCTGTCCTTTCTAAGATCCTTGAATCCTCTATTTCAGCCCTCAGATCAGGCTCCTCACTTTTCTCTGGATTTACCTCCAGGCCTTGGTATATTTCACCCCCCCCCCATTTGGGGATGTTCCCTTGCTCTTCTCTGCTGTTTTATATTATATACCCTTGAAGCTCAAATCTTTTTTTTCACTTAAGCTATTCATTTGGCCCCCATTGCATACTGCTTTATATTATTAATGCCGCTTTACCTAAGTCTTTATCTCCCCAACTAGTATAAACTCCTTGAGAGCAGCAACTGTGTTTTATATAATGCAACATCGTTATAGTTGATTGTATTGCATGTTGTCATTTGTTAACTATTGCATGGTTTATGTTTGACTGTGACAATCAGAAAAACAAATAATTCTGTTCTTCAAATTTGGTCCCTTTTTTTGTTGTTGTTTGTTTAAGCCGAAATTCCAACAAAATATTAAAAGGTTGTAATTTATTTGACCAGTGTCTCTGTCTACATCATGAGAATGCCAGGTATGACAATTTAGTTTTGACATTCTCTCTGCACCTCTGTCACCAGCCTGCCCTTCCAGATGACAAAAACCACTCCAGAGCTTACTGAGAATTTTTGTAATTTGGTTATTCTTATGTATAAATTTTCTAAGCAAATATGTTCAGAGGTATGGTGTTTACTAATGATTTTAATACTGGAATTTTAGATGAGTGTGTAAATATTTTTGTCATGGCTGTATTACTAAGTCAATATTATTACAACAAAAATTAAATTATATTAATCTGGGTCTAATGGGGATATTAATTCTTTTATTTTTAAGAGGTGTAGGTGCTGGCTGTAATACTAAAGAAGTCATAGATAGATTAAGGTATCTTAAAGCTGAAATTGAAGATCTAGAACTGAAGGAAAGAGAACTTGATCAGCAGAAGTTATGGCTACAGCAAAGCATAAAAAATGTGATGGATGACTCCATTAATAATAGATATCCTTTTAAATAGTTGTACATACAGTTACAAAACACACTTATATAATATAGTCTTCCAGTTTAAAGGTTAGTTGCTTTATTCTAGTATTCTTAAGAGTTAAGTTTTTGAAGTATATATAACATCATAATTTTGTAATATTCTTCTAATAATTTATACTAGTATTTTAAAAGTTTTCCCTTTTTAAAGTTATATTGCAGAGCCATTCACATTATTCCTACATTGAGTGAGAAAAAAAGATTCATCTGCTTTCTGTCTACCCATTGATAGGATATATATGCTAGCCAAAATTGTGCTTAGGGGTCTATGAATATTAGAAGCCAATGTTAAGTGCAGTTGTTAACAAGGGCATATTTGAATATTGTGTTCATTATATTAAAGTGGTGAAAATTCAGCAGCTGTCAGTGTTTTGAAAAATTAATTTTGATTTGAAAATGAAATACCATGGGACCTCAATAAATCTAAGATACTTTCTGCTTACTATTAACCCAAGTATAGTATCAACTTTAGGGTGTGCTCCAAGGTTTGTATGTATCATATTATATTGGGGGAAATAGTGATATACTCCATATATTTCCTGTGAATCACTTTCTTCTATTAGATACTTATAATTCCTTGATTTGTGAACTTACCAGCACTCTTAAGGGAACTTGTCATTTTATCTTGTACCACTTTGAATTTTTGATGCTGTGTGTGTGTGTGTGTGTGTGTGTATAACTTATTTTTCATGTTGTCTCAGATTTGGTGAACAAGTCCATGATCTCATTTGTTTATTTCTTCCAATGGATCAGAACTCCTTAGCAGTCTGATAACAATAAGAATTTTCAGGTTATGTTCTGTGGAGCCCTAAGGGTTAAAAAACAGTGAACTTGGTTGATCTTGGAATTTGCTGTGTTACCTTCCAAGGTTCTGGCCACTTCCATTTCCCCAAACTATGAGCAAGAAGGTTCTCGGTGTGGGGGCTGCCTGCTGGCGGCCTTTCTTTCCCCACCCACCCTTTTCTCCAGGAAGCCCCTGCTGCCATGAGGAATGTTCCGTTTGCCATCTCTCTCCCTGGGGTCTTCAGATGACGATGACGCAGAAATCAGAAGTGGCTTCTTTTCAAAGTACAGGTGTTCCTTTTATGGACCTTTATCTATTGTCTTTGCCTTTCTAAAGAGTTCTGTCCTTTTTTATCTGACCATGTGGGGTAGCGCTTCATGCATTTAGTCATTTTGTTTATTTTGGCATTAAGATTTATCATCTTAATTTAAATGCCTAGACCTTGATATAAATGTTGTTCCTTAACTTTTTATGACAGTACATTTTCCTATGTAACTCATGAAGACATCTGTAATTGCTTTAATGGTAAGTACTGCTGGTAAATTTTTTCTTACGTTCTTCCTCTGGTCAACCTATTTAATGTAGAGTGATTCAGAATTCCCCATGAACTCACGCTAAGTCATTCTCTTCAATGCCTGTGGACATTTTGTCTCACTATACAGTGCTGTGTATTGATAGGCAGCTTTCATTTCTACTTTTATGGCAGTAACTGCTTTCCACAGCTTTTACATTTGCCTCCGTTGGTAGGTACATAATGTATGTGTGTTGGGGAAGCTAGGGGAAACTAAATCAGAGAGGGATTAATCAGCATTCTCAAAGTCACAGAGTCAGTAACAGAATTTGAACTAGAAAAATTCTTTTCAAGTGGAAACTGAATTTGCCTCTAAGAAAATACTGAAAACATATAGCTTTATCGCTCTATTTTGCTGTATCACCTGGCCTTTCTAAGAATGTTTTGGGAAAGGTTTATCAGTCTGCAACTCAATGGACTGTTGCAGAATTTTGCTTCAAAAATAAGTTTACTTAAACTCAGTGTTTCACTTTATCATGCCTCATCTCTGGTGGCTTAGTGTCTAAGGCATTTGACTGCTAACCAGAAGGCTGGCAGTTCAAACCCACCAGCCACTCCTTGGAAGGAAGATGGGGCAATTGACTTCCGTAATCATACCGCCTCGGAAACCCAAGGAGGGGTCACTGTAAGTTAGAAAATGACTCAACGGCAGTGAGTTTGGTTTTTTTTTTTTTGGTTTAATCTTTATTATCCCTAGCCATTAAGTAATTCAAAAATTTCAAGTAAACGATGTTATTTAATTTCTTAAAATCGTCTCCCCCCACGCCATGCTCACATCCTATCAGGGCAACAACCCTAGATGGGTTCCTCGAACAAAGTTAGCAAAAGTCCTGAAATGGATTCTGATTGGCCTCGTGTGCAGGTCACTTGCTAACTGTTGAACCAATCAATGTGGCCAGGGTTCTTTTAGTACCAGGCTTATCCTTACAGCAGGGAAATGAGGTCAATTATTTGAAGTGTTTGAATAAACTAAAGGAAAGGCATGTCCCCAAAGAAAAATCATAATATCATTACCAAAAGAAGGAGGAAGAGATGAAAGAAAAACACAACATAAGTAAATAATCTACACGCTATGGAGAAGGTACTGTTATATCTCCAATTTCATGTAAGAGGGCCCTGAAGCTGAAGGAGATAAAGTGACTTGAGAAAAAAATCACATGGCTGGTACATAGCAGAGCTGGAATTTAGACTCTGAAGTTTGAGACACTATTCAGACTTCTTGACAATGACAGCCTTAGGTAATGGTATTTGAGCCCTCTTGATGGCCAACTTTCATCACTGCCTGTTATCATACAGAGTTAGCAGGATGATGAATATGTATTATCTTCCATTTTCTGTAATCTTTTTGTTTTTCAAATTCATTTTACTATTTTTTTTGCCTTCTCCTTCATCAAGGTTAATGTGTCTACTCTCTAGTTAGTGATTTGCCCTCCCTTCTCTTCTAAAATAAAGTTTATAGGAATCTCAGACTACCAGACTGAAGATATTTAAGTAATTTGAGCTAAATTTGTTAATGAGAATAATAAAGCTAACACTGAGATTAAGAGCTCGACTCTTAACTGGAAGGTTGATGTTTTGAACTTACCATCTGCTCCATGGGAAAAAATTCTAGGCATTCTGCTCTTGTAAAGATGTACAGCTTATAGAACAGTTCTACTCTGTCATGTAGGGTCACTATGAGTCAGAATTAACTTTGATGGCATGCACCACAGCAACAATGCTAAGAACTGCTAATACATGTGTTACCTCATTTAATCCTCAAAACAAAACTTGTGCAGTAATTTATCACCCGTTCCCCCTCCCTCCCCCACCCAGTTTATAAAATTGAAAACTAAAGCCAGAGGCCCCCTAGCTAGTAGCCTGGGATTCAAATCCATGCCTTCTGACTATAGCCTACATTCTAACCACTATATTTTATGTCAATAGTATTTCCTAAAATTTTCAATATGGGATTTTTTTTTTTTTTTAAACTAGGTGACACACTTTTGGCCATTCAAGCACCTTCTGGTACACAGCTGGAGGTACCTATTCCAGAAATGGTATGTAGGGTACTTTTGTATTAAGTGGGAAAAATGGATCAATCTCAGGAGTATAATTCTTTTTTTCCCTTGATCATGAGCTGATTGTGTGTAAATACTTCCAAGTTCTTGCTTTCAAGTCATTGATCTGAAAGTGGTGATATCTAACTTTGGGTTTCTTCAAAATTTGTTAAATTTTAGGGGAAATGACTGATTTAATCACTCAGCATTGATTATAAAGCTTTTCTAAATCTGATTTTATTTGCTCTAGAAGTTATCAAGAAATGAATGTTGATATGGTCAATAAGCTTGAAAAGTCTGTTGCAATGGCCACATCTTAACTGATATAAAAATGCTGACTGAGGAGAAGAAAAAGTTTAAATATCAGCATACCAGATTACTTTAAATTGGGTCTTTTGAAAAACATCTTCTGGACATTTTAGTAAAAAACATTTATTGAGTCTATGCTATGCGTAAGTTTTATAATTTCAGATTTTGGATTCAAATTTTCTAAAATAAATAGAAATTAAAACTAACAAATCAAAGACTACTACATCATCTTCTCCCTCAGCTACTCTGGAAGTTTGGATTTTGACATTTATGTTACTGAATATACTATAAATGATATAATGAAGCTTCAGGGTATAAATTAGTGTTTTGAAATGGAAGAATTTTATATCTCTGTAGGAGAAATCAGTTTTTTTTTTTTCCTTTTTAATTGTGATTTGGGTGAAGATTTACAGAGCAAATTCACTTTCCATACAGCAGTTCACATATACTTTGTTTCGTGTCATTGACCACAGTTTACCACAATGCAACAGCTCCCCTCCCACTTCCTCCCCATAGTTACCTCTTCCCAGTGTCCATCCCTCCATACTCTCCTGCACCCTGAGCTGTCTCCCTGTGCATAAGCAGCCCTTCCTTCTCCCAGGAGAAATCAGTTGTTTTTGTGCTTGCTGAATGAAAAAAAAAATCGTTTTTAACTTGCGAAATAGTTGTTAAGTCAGCTTGTTGAGATGATCACACCCATGGGAGCCGATTCTCGGGTATGTAGTCCAAACATACGGGGAATGTCTGGAGCATCTCTGAGCACTGGTGTGTATAATTATGGATTTGTTGTTGTTATGTGCTGTCAAGTCGGCCAGACTCATAGCGACCCCTCCTTGGGTTTCCGAGGCAGTATCACTATGGAAGTAGATTGCCCAACCTTCCTTCTGAGGAGTGGCTGGTGGGTTTGAACCGTCACCCTTCTGGTTAGCAGTCAAGTGTCTTAGGCACTATGCTACCAGAGCTCCCATAATTATGGATGGTTTCTAGAATGAATTCATCAAGTCAAAACACAACAGTAGAGACCAAGGACAAAAGAGGATATTGAGGGGTCTAAAATATCTGCCCTTAAAAAGTAAACTTTTCTCAAATGCAGATAATTAAAAAACTTTCAGTTGTAGAATAATTATGGATGGTTTCTAGAATTCTACAACTGAAAATTTTTTAATTATCTGCATTTGAGAAAAGTTTACTTTTTAAGGGCAGATATTTTAGACCCCTCAATATCCTCTTTTGTCCTTGGTCTCTACTGTTGTGTTTGACTTAATGACTTAATTTTGTTGTGTAAATTTACTTAGTCCCAAATAACTTTGAATGTCTTATTTTTAATACCAAGTTTCAAAGTAGTTAGAAATGTTAATATTTATTCATTTATTTATACCCAATAACTTCAAAGGGACAGAATGGACAAAAGAAATACCAGATCAACCTAAAGAGTCATTCAGGACCTATCCACGTGCTGCTTATTAATAAAGAGTCCAGTTCCTCTAAGCCTGTGGTTTTTCCTGTTCCTCCACCTGATGACCTCACACAACCCTCTTCTCAGCCCTCAACTCCCGTGACTCCGCAGAAACCCAACACGGCAACTCAAAATCTGCCTGAGCAGCCTGTCTCTGAAAGAAGCCAGAGTCTTCAGCAGATTCCAGCTACAGACATATCTTCAGGTGGGTTTAGAGCCTTTAGTTTGAAAATTAGGGAGGGAGGGGGGTGGTGTATGAATCCATTAAACAGGCTGCTAATTGAGTTTCAAACTTGTCAGTTGTGACTTTACAGGAAGCAAAATACTAAGCTTAATTTCATCAGTAAATATTAAGGGTCTCCTCTTTTATGAGGAAAATTTCAAAACAGATCCTGTTCATTATATTACTACAGATTTGTTTCATAAGCAGAATACACAGATAGAAGTACATACATATAATTTGCAGAAATAGTCACTCAAATACGCTATATTGTGGTTAAGCCTGTATGTAGAATTTTGACTGTAAGAAAAGATTTTTATGGATCAAGGTTAGCTCTTTTCCTTAAGATTCCATTTTCAGTAATATCATCCTCCTTAGGGAAAAAGAGAGGAAATTCTTTCCTGAATGAAGCCAAAGGAACTACTGAGGTCAGAGTTGGCATTAGCCAATGGAATAAATGAATGACAAAGTTACAAGTGCTTATTTGGCTTCAGCTGAATTTGTTTCTTTTTTTCTTCTTTTACTGTTTAAATATGTCAGCTTTTATCTAAAGTTTATTTTGTCAGGTTTTTTTTTTTTCTTAATTTTAGTAAATCTAGCTAAATTACTGAAATATGTTCTAACTACTTGCAGATAATTAAAAACTATATTGTATGTCATCCAAATGATTTTTACCTTTGGGTTGTGTCCCATTGAACTGTGGCATGATTTTACTACTCTGAGTGTAAACAGTAGTTAAAAGTGAAGCTGGACAAGAAATATGTTTCAGTTTCTCATTGCCCACATTCTTCTCTCTTTTATTCCTCCCAAAAGTATTTCTATGCTATAGGCCATAGAGTTGCACAATGAAAGGTATAATCTTCAAAAAGCTTATAATCTAATTGGGATTTAAAAAAACAAAAACGGCAAACGGCAAACTTTATATGGTTTGGCTTGACTTAATTAGTACATTGACCTCCACAAAGCATTAAAAAATATTTGAACAGTTGGTATCTGTTTATTATTTCGTATTTGGAAAATAGTAGAGAGGGCCTTGAACATTAGAACTTTATCCGATAAGCTAGTGTAGATTTGTGACCACAGAAGTAGCACCCTAGAACTGTCTGTGTGGAAACAGGAGTAACAGGATCAGGGTGGTACACTACACCTGGGAAACGGAAGAGGTTAGGGACTGCTGACGCTGACGCTGACGCTGAGGGGCTTGCAGTTATGCAACTGTCAAAGTAACATTAAGGCTAAAGTAGGGTGAGATTAGAGACGGTTGTAGAGGTTAAGGATGAGGATGGAAATAAGTGTTTCTGGCATAATGATATTACTAATAAGCTTGGAATGACTGGTTTGTGTAAGTGGTGATCCAGATTAAAAATTAAGTAGTGTATTGGTATGGAAGAAAGCAGACTTTCTTCAGAGAAGGAGCAGACTAGATAAGTATTTATCGTCTTCTCTAAGCTTCACGTTGCCCTGATTCAGGTTCTTGGGAGGGCATAGAAGTATATTTCGTTTATTTAAAGGACTGCTCTTTGTGATAAAATTTAAGAGTTCTCGAAACTCCATCTTTTTGTGGCTACAGTACACAGTAAGGAGAGTATAGATTAAAAAAACCTGTGTCAGTTGAATTTTTGAAAGATACTCTCCAGCTGACTCCATTAACAATTATGCTATAAGAAGTTAGATTTTTACTTCGCAAAAACAGAAAACACAACCACTGCCGCAGAGTCGGATCCAATTCATAGCGACACCTCCTTGGGTTTCCGAGGCAGTATCACTACGGAAGTAGATTGCTGCACTAAAATAACTTTTAAAAGATTACTTTAACCTGGCCTTTTATGTCATCTAAGTTTCTTTTCAGTAGGTTTTAATCTTGACATAGGTTTCTGAATTTCACTGACACTAGTATATATTGGCTAGATTAGTCACCTAATTCAGTTATTTCCTATTGTCTAAGATAGTACTTCTCGGAAGGAAGGTTGGGCAACCCTACTTCCGTAGTGATACTGCCTCGGAAACCCAAGGAGGGGTCGCTGTGAGTCGGGGCCGACTCGATGGGAAACAACAACTACAACAAGATAGTACTCACAGCAGAACAAAATAGCTCCACTACCACTTTAACTCAGCCTCCCACATTCAGGGTTTATAATTGTTGTACCACAAGCATCAGCTAACTCAGAAGATTACCCCTCAGCTTCCTTTAAATGCTAATTGAATTGTCCAACCAGATTCTTTTGACTCTAAATGGATAAGCCTGGAGATGAGATCCATCATGTTTACTTTAACCCATTTATGTCTGACCCCAGACATAATATAGGCAACTCCCTAGTTTCCACACTATGGGCATGACTGAAATTAATGTAGTCTACTGTGCTAACTAGAATGGCTTCAAGGAGCTCTGGTGGCACAGTGGTTAAGGTTTTTGGCTGACAGCGAAAAGGTCAACAGTTTGAACCCACCAGCTGCTCCATGGAAAAAAGATGAGGCAGTCTGCTTCTGTAAAGATTTATAGCCATAGACACTCTGTGGCATAGTTCTTCTCTGTCCTAGAGGATCACTATCAGTTGGAATTGATTGACTCAATGGCAGTGAGTTTGGTTTTTGGTATAGTGACTTTGTCCATCAGACCTGTCAAAACCATTTAATTTTGTTAATGACTAGTTAAATTTCATCTTTTGGATCTCCTGCCCACCCGTTTAGTGGAAAGAGTAACAAGTAGAAAAGGATCCAATTGCTGGGTAGCTAGTAATGAATAGGGAGAAGAAAAGGTACTGGACAAAGCAAAAACTGTGTGACCAGTCCTAGTGAAATTCAGTTGTTATAATAATTTGGAGAAGATAATACTAAAAGTAGTAGTATTCTTTGAGGTCCAGTTGTCTCATCAGTAAGATTCACGCTTTAGACTGACTCCTGGGGTTCCTGTTGTAGGGTACAATTTTGTGCCCTCTCTCCCCTCTTACCTCTGCTCAAATACTGCTATTTAGTATTCAGATTTATCTTGGCCCAGTGAGTAGATGCCTTGACAGGAGATCATGGTTGTTCAAGGCATTACCTTGGGGATGCTTCTCACTCTGTTGGATACCATCAGAATTAGTGGTCTCTTACCCTTATGGCTTATTAATGGCACTATATGAATGGTGCACAAGAGCATATGATGCCGTACTTCAAAGTTCAGAGACATGGCGATTAAAGGGAGGAAAAAAAACTCCTTAGCTTTCCTCCCTAATTAACCTAAAGGGAAAAATCTAAGTCCTTGAAGAACTCTGGGTTTAAATTCCATTCCTTCTTCAGCAATTCTTGAATTCAGCCATAGTACCATCAGTTGTCCCTCTGGCTTGATGGAGTTTTTCTGTACTTTGCTGCTTTCTTATATATATATATATAGGAATCTTTAAAAAACACTTATTAAAGTTTTGAATTTCTGTAATTGACAACCTGGGAACCCTAAGTCATAGTTGATACCTTGAATTCACAATGGAGAACTAAGCAACTAGAAATTGGTGGATGTGTGGTGTTGCAACTCAGCCTTATGGGGCATTGTAAATACCTGTTAATGGGGTGGGGGACAGCACTGTCCCATAACCATTTCAGGCAAGAGCAAAATTGACAACTGAACTCTTTGTTGCCTGGGTTTCCAGATCAGTCTATTTAAGGTGTTTTTTTCTTTTCTCTAATGCCTATGGAAAAGTATTTATTTCATAATATAAGGAAGAGGATCCAATTTACAAAATGAGCACCAAGGCTTTATAGTAATGCCTTTATTCCAGCTTGAAGATAACTGTTCATCATGAAGGGACTGATGCAAGAGTGTCACTGAAGTTATCATGGACTATCACAGACCTGCAGTGCTGTCTAGAACTACTGAGCCTGTACTTCTGTAAGCTCAGCTGATACACACCTTAAATCACAATTTTTGAACTGAATTGCTTATTACCTATTAGGTACCTAATAAAAGAACCTAGGACTTTTATTACTGCATGACTCATTGTTGGGTATAATCTTCAGGAACTCAGGATTTCTTCTAGCTTAGTTATAAAACTAAAAAGTAAATTCATGATTATACTCTTCTTCTTCCCTTATATTCAATGGAACATTTCTATGAAAACAAAATTAACCAGTATAATCAAAATTTTCTTTCCACAAAGGTTTGTCTGGTACTTTGTATGCCAGTCAAGTTGCTGATTTGACTGCCTGTTTTAATATAACTGCCTCTATGAGTAGAAATGTGACAAAACTTCATTACATTTCTGTTTCCAGCAGGATCTATTAGTGGAGATATCATTGATGAATTAATGTCTTCTGATGGTAAGTAGTTTAAATGATTCTTTATAGTAAAATACATAAGTAGATATATAGCTTGAAAAGTACTGTGTGTCTATTAAGTATATATATTATACTTTTCTAGAATTTATAAAAATGATACATGACTTAAAAATAAGGAACTTTTATTTTTTAACTGCTTAGTCTACTACACAATTCAGGAATATTGTACCTTAATACTGATAGTGAACCATAGTCATCTTTTTGAATTTATTTTCCTTTGCTTGCATTTTGAAGGAAATCAGTCCGTAAGGGGATATGGTCATCTTCACTAACCCTTTTCACTCCTGAAGAATCTGGCCCAGGAATAACGTTTACATCAACAGACCTGAAATCCCAGTCCTGTCACTGCAGGAACAACACCTAGAGGTTAAACACTGAAATGCCCAAACTTGAGATTACCTGGAATGAGAATTTCAAAATGTCTCCCTGAGCTTTAAGTAGTTTTTCTATGAGGCAGTGTTAAAGTACTTGAATAGTATGAAGTACTAAGCAAATAGAATGCCTTGATTTTATTTTTGTTCAGTTAGCGACAAAGGTGCTCTGTAAATACAATACCTTTACTTAGTTTGGATTGAAGTATTCTGCAATCCAGTACAATGCTGTTCTTCAACCCCGAAGCAGTCCTAGAAGACTACAGTGGTTTAAGGGCAAGTTCTGTGCAGTGAGCTAGTCAAGACAGAGGCTGCCTTTTCCTGGTGTCTTTTATTCATTTTACCTGCCTGACTCATCTTGCAATTGGAGTTTATAATCCATGGAATAATCTTAAAGGTGGCCACTCACAAGCCACCAGCTGTTGCCTTATCACTTCTAGTTATTCAGAGCCTAGTTTTTCCTCTAAGCAGTGATGTATAGAAAAACTATTGTGTCCAGAGGAGGCCCTACCCCAGCTGAAGTTTGAGCCAGTTTAAGGCTCCTCTCACAAAAATGTCTGTTATCTTGGCTGATAGGTTCTTTTTAAAATAAGAAATAAATACCAGTTTTCCAGTGTCATGAATACTACAAGTTATATAGGCTATTTTAAAATTTGTCACTTGGAATTCCAGTTTTCTGTTTTTTCTTAAATCCTGACCTTTGTTCCAAATTAGGACAGTGCATACAAAGCAGGTTATAATAGATAGAGAAAACCACCTTGGTAGAAAAGCCAGCCCTGTTCTGGTTCTCATTTTCACCAGCAGAAAGAAACTAGGCTAGTTCTTCTAGGCTAGGCTAGTTCTTCAGTAGCTCCAGAGAGATGACCACCAGAGTTGCTCTCTGCCATTTCTGTGGCTCTCTCAGGGGCTGGGAAGCAAGTTGCTTCGGATACAGCCAGCTGTGCGCTGGAAGATGTTTAACCGCTGGCTTTGTGTGGAAAAATCCCTGATATTTTTTTTAATTTGTAGTGTTTGCTTAGTTCTGTGGTATAATACTTCCATGAGGGCCAATTTCAACCTACTAATGTGAGTCACTGAACTATTCATAACATTAGCCATGTCATCATCTAATCTCAAAGAAACATAAAAAGATCAGTTAGCTACAATATGGCAGTTGGTTCAAAAATGTCTCACCTTTCTTTAAGTTCTTGGATTCAGAGTTCTAGTTCCTAATAAATAGAGCAGAGACCTAGGAAGTTGATAGCTGTAAAGTCAGCAAATGGTACAGTAAGCACTTAAGAATTTATTAAATACTTATGTATTAAATACTTCTGTAAATTTGCAGAGTACCTGCAAATTTATTAATAGAGGTATTTCATAGTGGTTTTCAAAGTTGTAGCTTACTTAGCAGATCAAAGAAAACACTTTTGACCATTGTATGTGAATTACATATTTTAGTGACAAATTCAGACAAAAATTTTAACTAATACCTACTATTAATGTATAAATTATCTTTACACTAAACCACAAATCATTAATGAGATCACTTTCCTATTACATTCTTAAAATACATGTATAACACAGGAAGGATAATTATATACACTAAACAATACTTCGATGTACAAACCGTCTTTAACGTGGAAATTTTCTTTGCCTGCAGTGTTCCCTCTCTTACGGCTTTCTCCTACCCCAGCAGACGACTACAGCTTTAACTTAGATGATAATGAAGGAGTCTGCGACCTGTTTGATGTGCAGATACTAAACTATTAGATTCCATGGAAACTTGGGACTGTTATCTACCTCTAACTGTATAACATTTAGGCTTCTCAATAACCTAAGTATTTAAAATAATGAATGTAACACCTTTTTAGTTCACTGATTCTGAAGTGTTCTTCCCTAATACTTTCTTTTTTACTTCACAAAACTTCAACCATAAAAATAAAGGGCTGTTTCAGGAGAAAAAGTGATTTAATGCCAGTATCTATGCCCCCCAAAATTTCTGTTTTTTTTTTTTTTAATTAATTCCTATTCTGAATCCTTCTGTTTTTCCCTCTTATGAGAGGGAAGTTAAAGCAGACTTCAGGTCATCAAAAGCAAAAATGTTGGCCAAGGGCTCGTCACTTGTGTGTCTTACATTTTTACTGCCACAAAAATGTATTTGTGTCCTTCCAAGCCAATCTGACATTCACTGCCACTTATAAAGTGAAGGATATAAACTAGGACATATTAACTGTTTGTTTCAGTGAACAGATTTTGTGAAGTGCCTTCTGTTCTAGCACTTTAAGTTGATCACATTTTGTTGACTTCTGACATTCCACTTTCCTAGGTTATAGGAAAGATCTGTTTATGTAGTTTGTTTTAAAATGTGCCAATGCCTGTACATTAACAAGATTTTTAAAAATAAAGTTGTATAAAACATTAAAATTTATTGGTCTTTTTTGGGGAAATCTGATTGATGTATCACCATTGAATTATAACTGAGCCATTAATCTCGTAGCCTCGTCAACATTAACTGGTTCGTTTTCATGATGCTGCTGAGGAATCTGGAGAGAGAAAAGCACTACATTTAGAAATTTAGATAACAACAATGAGCAAAAATGACTTGTATATAATCTATCATCCAGTTTAATTTTTTCTAGTCCAATCTCTGGGAAAAGAATAATAAATTGTCATAATCAGACATAAGGCGTTTTAGAGTCTGCATGTGTCTGGAAATGTTACACGTGTTATAGAGCCAAGTCCTAAAAATTACATTCACCTGACAGGTTTTGAAAAGTTAAGAGTTTATTAGTCTTCAATTCATATTTGAATCAAAACAAAAGCAAATGACTTCTACTTACCAGTTGTTTCTGCAGAGGTTCAAGGGAAAGGCCTTTGGAGAAGTGTGCAAGCTCCTTTTGTATATCTACAAAAGCTTTATTTACTCTGCTGACTTTTTCATCATTCACAATGTTTATCTTTTTAAAAAGAAAAAAGCCATTAATTCAAGATGTCATAGTCATTAAATATAAAATAATATATTCAACCTTAATTTAATCTTCTTAAATCTAAAAAAACCGTCACTCCCACTAATGTTTGGGAATAAATCACACTAAAATTCTTATAGTCTTACTGAGAAATTTTAGCAAAAAGGTTTTTTTTTTTAAAAAAATGAATTATACTTTTCTGGTGCTATTGTTAGTCACCCTTGAATCAGTTCTCACTTATAGCAACCCCCAGGTGCAGATTAGAACTCCCTAAAATTTTCAAGGCTTTGACCTTGTGGAAGCAGATTACCAGGTTTGTATTCTAAGGATGCTCTGGGTGGGTTTAAACCACCAACCTTTTCAGCTAGTAGAGTGCTTAATTTAACCACAGGTGCCAACTAGGGTCAAGCTTTTCTGGCATCAACCACCACCACCAAGAAAACCCAAATCCATTGCCATCGAGTTGATTATGACCCATAGTAAACCTCATAAGACAAAAGTGCCTATAGGGGGTTTCCAAGGCTGTCATCTTTACAGGAGCAGACTGTCACATCTTTCTCCTACAGAGCAGCTGGTGGGTTTGAATCATCAATCAACCTTTTGGTTAGCAGTCGAGCACTTAACCACTGTACTACCAGGGCTCCTTTCCCTGGTATAGGCAGGCCAAACAAACAGAGGCACGCCTTGTTTTATTGTGCTTTGCAGATACTTTTTTTTTTTAACAAATTGAAGATTTAGTAGCAACCCTGCATCGAGCAAGTTTATTGGCTCCCTTTTTCCAAAAGCTGTGCTCACTTCATGTCTGTGTCCCATTTTGGTCAATCTCAAACCTTTTCATAATGCATATTTAACAGACTACAGTATAATATAAATGTAAGTTTTATATGCATTGGGAAACCAAAAATCTTGTGTGACTTGCTTTACTGCACTATTCGCTTTATTGCATTGGTCTGGAACTGAACCCGCAGTATCTCCATGGCATGCCTGTATGTGATTTTCTAGGCACTGGTACTATGATCTCATCTGTAAAACAAAAACTTGGAACAAATTATTTTAGTGCTCTTTTAACAGTACACTCTGAATCCTTCCTTGATCTTGCCTTATGGAGACCTGGCAGCCCCTGAGGACAGCTTCTCCTCCAGGCCTCCTCACTAGTGGAGGTAGGTGTTCTCATTCTTCACTGCTGCTACCAAACCATTTCTCTCAAAACCCTCAGCTCCTTTCCACCAGAACACGGAAGGAAACCCCTTCCTCATGGCTGTCACCTACAAATGCCACCATTACTCCTTCATGAAAGATTTTACACTTTGGCTCACTGATCGCTCCAATCTCTTGCCTGTCATCACTGCTTAGTGGCTTCGACAAAAATCTAATCCTACGGCCTCTCAGTCTCCTGAGGTCCTCATCTCCAGGGATCTTTTCCTCTAGCTTACCCGAGCCATCCACTCCCATGGAATCACCTTAGATTCTAACGGTATGTCATTCTGTAACCTTACCGTCTCCTGTCCTAGTTCATCAAGTTTATTAACAGTACTTCCACCTCAATAAAATCCTTTCTCATCAATTTCACTATTTTTCACATCTTCATGTCCTCACTTCTTTTTGCCTCAACCATCCCAGGTTCCATGACCATCACTGAATCAATCATTTCTTTAAACTCTCTGAATGTTACTTTCTTTCTCTTCCCTTGATCAAAACCCTGGCTAAACCTTACTATCAGCCTTTTCTGTGTCTGGAACTAAAGCTGTAGAAAATAATGACTGGTTTCATCTTAAATTCATAACCACTATCTCATTAACATAACAAAAAACCCATTCCCAAATGGGATTATAACCACATAGAGGTTAGGATCGGGGGATACAATTTCAATCCCTAACAACCACAAACATCAACTGACTGTTTATATAGTGCTTGGCAATCTTAGGACTGCTTCCTACTAAGTCCCTTTGGAGATAATTTAAAACTTTTTTCAAACCTCCAACCATATATCTCCCTTTCTTATTAGATCCTTCCCACCAGCATACATAAAGAAAGATTCCAGTACCTCCTATCCAGAAGAAATAGTCTTTCTCTCAAATATTCTAAATTATTTCTTTGACTGGGGCCTTTGCACTTGCTACACTCTCTGCTATCCACAGCATTTATAAAGTCATAAAATTGCTCAATGAAAAAACTGCTCATGATAGAGACAGGTGAAACCCCCAAGACTATGGTCCCAAGTTGCCCTTTGGGGCTGGAATTGGACTTACTCCCATGGGTTCCAGCCAAACAATAGATAGGCCTACAAGGTGAACATTTACACCAGGTAGGTACACTTCAGAACAACCAACCACAGGAGATGAGAAGGGCATCATTTTCACAAGGAGATGGCTCAGAGGGCAGGAATGTACAAGAAAGGACACAGAAAAGGTAACCACAATGGAGGAAGTGGGAAGAGAGCTGTTACGGGGATTGCAATCAATTTCATGAAACAAAATGTGCATGAACTGTTGAATAGAAAACGAAATGTGGTCTGTAAATTCTCACCCAAATCAAATTGAAAAAAAAAAAAAACCAACAACACCCAGCTAGCTCATGAAAGGTGAAAGTGAAAATGTTGTATTTACTATGCACCTTTAGGAAATTACTGAGCTAAGGAGAGCTAACTCCACCTACTACTTTAACTTGAAAACATTTTCTTAGAGAATTTTATAGTCCACGTAATCTTGATGAAGACATTTCCTAAATATTTTGAACAGGAAACAATTTAAAGAAACCTCTTCAAATTCTGTATTTTAAGAATCAAAGTATTTTATCTTCATTTTACATTTTTAATTTCAGTTCCAGGTATCTTCAGAGACATAAGAATTAGGAGACTAAGTAGTGGGTGCTAACAAGTGAGTGTTGACTGATATTCCATATCTTGACTCTGTTAATAGGCTCTTAAATATATTTGAAGGCGCCCTAACGGTGCAGTGGTTAAAGCACTCCCGTGCCAACTGAACAGTCTGAAATCCCCAGCTACTCCATGGGAGAAAGATGTGGCAGTCTGCTTCTGTAAAGATTTACTCTTGTAAGCCCTGTGGGACAGTTTTACTCTGTCCTGTAGGGTTGCTGTGAGTCAGAATCATCTTGAGGCCAGTGATTTTTAAATATGTTTGAGTTAAAAGATAAGAACTGTCATATTATGGCCTTAAAAAAAAAAAAAAAAAAATTTGTAAACTCTAATGTAACTATTAAACCAGCAACTTGTAGTCAAAATAGTTTTTCTTTTTGAACATTTGGATTCAAGAAAACCAAAGTAAAAAAAAAAAAAAAAAAAACCTGAAACTGCCATCGAGTCACTTCAGACTCCTAGTGCTGGTCCACGACAGAGTATAAATGCCCCAAGAGTTTCCAAGGCTGTAAATCTTTATGAAAGCAGACTGCTTTTCTTTCATCAGCGAAGCAGCTGGTAGATTCGAACCACTAACCTTTTGGTTAGCAGCTGAATGCTTTAATCACCGTGCCACTGAAGCTCCCTGGATTCAAGTAAAGTTATTTTCTCTCTCCTTTTTTTTAAACAACAGTTTAAAATCATTTTGCCTTTGCAGGAAAGATGAAAAACTTGTTTTAAATAAAAGCATTCCATTTTCCTGCAGCTTTATAACTATACTTTTAAACAATAAAGCCAGCATGTTTGACGAATACTCACCTTTTTAAGATTTGTGGTAACTGGTTTTGCTTTGTGTTTAGACTTGAAGTTTTTCTGGCTCGCTATGTGAAATACATTTCTGGACTTCTGCCCTCTTAGTTTATTCTTCGCCATTGTCTAGGAAAGAAAAAAAGGGAGTTTAATTAAGCTATCTATATTTATGAACAATAAATCAATTTAAGTTTTTAAAGTAAAAGTGCCAATTGAGGTAAGAATTTCTATCTTAGCCATGATTACTTTTACATCCTTTACCCCAACTAGATTTTCTACTCTTTTAGGGCAGCGTATGTACAGACAGTCCCCGACTTAATGACGGGGTTCTGTTCCGATGACTTTATTAAGTAGGTTCTGACATAAATTGAGTAATTCATTTTTTAAAAAAATTTTCATTATTATTGCCTTTTCTCATAAGTATCTTTATAAAACCAATCTTTGTCTTTGAGGGTTGGATGAAAACTGTAACATCAGCCAATTATATGCTGCAACATTGTATGTAGTATATACATTACTAACAAGATGTACCAAAAAAAAAAACCCCAAAGCAATAATGGTTGTAGTTGTAACTCACACACTAAAATAAGTTGTAAGTCGGGGACAACCTGTATCAAATTTTTTTCTGGATCTCCAGCAAGTGGCCCATAGGAAGCACCCAATTAATGTCTGCTGGCTGAACTCTTTATATTATCAACCCAGTAACTTTTTTTTCACCTCTCTGCAGCATCTGACAATGTTAACCATCACTATTCATCCTGCTAGTTTACATATCATTTATACCCACTCTGAGGGAGTTCTGGTAGCATAGTGGCTAAGGCATTTGACCGCTAACCAGAAGGCTGGTGGTTCAAACCCACCAGCCACTCCTCGGAAGGAAGGTTGGTCAATCTACTTCTGTAGTCATACCGCTCAGAAACCCAAGGAGAGGTTGCTATGAGTCGGGTCCAACTCAGTGGCACATAACATAACAACATAACATGCCCACTCTGAAGGAGCCCTGGTAGCACAATGGTTACCTGTTCAGCTGCTAACTGAAAGGTTGGTGGTTCAAACTCACCAGCCGCTCCACAGAACAGGCCTGGTGATCTGCTCCCGTAAATGTCTAGGAAACTATGACGCAGTTCTACTCTGTCCTACAGGGTCACTATGAGTTAGAATCGACTTGATGGAACACAACATGCCACTCTGGTTCTTATACTTTGTTGTTGTTGTTGTTATTTGCCGTCGAGTCGGCCCCGACTCATAGCAACCCCTCCTTGGGTTTCCAAGGCAGTATCACTACGGAAGTAGGATTGCCCAACCTTCCTTCCGAGGAGTGGCTGGTGGGTTTGAACCGCCAGCCTTCTGGTTAGCAGTCAAAGTGCCTTAGGCACTATGCTACCAGAGCTCTTATACTTTAGGGACTGACTTCTCTGTCTCGTTCCTGCCTTCTATTATTTTCATTTCTGTTTACTCTCCCTACTTCCTCCTAATTGGTGCATCTCTTCAAAACCAGTCCTTAATCCTCCACTTCTTTTCCTCAAATTACTCTCAGGACTTCTGTAGCACCTATATGTTAATGGTTCCTGCCTTGAAAACTTAACATAACTTTTTCCCCTATCTAACTGAAAAAAGAACAAATTCACTGCCATCAAATTATTTCCAACTCATAGTGACCCTGTAGGATAGACAGAGCAGAACTACCCCGTAGAGTTTCCAAGGCTGTAAATCTTTACAGAAGCAGACTGCCTCATCTTTTTCCCATGGAGTGGATGGTGAGTTTGAACCACTGACCTTTTTGGTTGGTAGCCAAATGCTTTGAACATGATGCCACCAGAGTGCCTCTTGTGTACTAAACATGAATTTAGCCTGCAGATTCTTCCTTAGAAATGTCTCCCATATCTGTCTTTAATAACACCCAGTGGGAATAATTGAAAATAATAGTTAGAATGTATTGAGCTTTTACTCTCTGTTCAGGCACTGTGCTAACATTTTATATGCTTTTAATTCACATGCCTCATAATCCTTTGTGGGAGATACTATTATTCCCATTTTACAGGAAAAAAAAAATTGATGCAAAGAGAATTAATGTGTTCAATTTCACACTATTAGTAACCAGGTTATGCCAGGGATCAAAGCCAGGCAGACTAGATCCAGTGCTGAGACATTTGACCATATGTGATATTGCCTCTCACGTACACAAAAAAACAACAAAAAAATAGGATGTAGTACTGCCTAGCTCAAGAATAGGTTACTGCTATAATCCCCGGGTCCCTTTGCTTAGGACTATTAAAGAAATCCTGTGAGTGGAGCATTGTGACTCATATTGACCCTATGTCCTACAGGACAAAGCAGACATTCCCCACAGGGTTTCCAAGGGGGTAAATCTTGACAGAAAAAGACTGCCACATCTCTCGTGCACAGTGTCTAGTGGGTTCCAATAACCATTCAGTTAGCAGCCAAGTGCTTTACTACTTACTGCACCACTGGGGCTCCTTTTGCTTAGACCAGGGGTCAGCAAACTCTGCCCTTGGGCCAGATGTAGCCAGCCACCTGTTTTTGCTTAAAGTTTTTAATAAAGTTTTCTTGGAAGATAGCCATGCCCATTCAGTTACATATTGTCTATAGCCACTTTCACCTACAACTATGGATCACAAAGCCTAAAACATACACAAAGTTTGCCAACTCCTGGCTTCAGATATGAGCACTCAAGTCTCTTCTGCACAGTGCTATGTGATGGACCTTCCAAAAATTAAAAACCTTCTTTGGCTCTCCCATTTTATTGGCATGTGACTGAAAACCTGAATCTACTCTAAATCTGCCAAACCTATCTTCTGATACCTCTCTCCACACATTGCAGTAGCCAGCTTAGGCTACTAACAGTTCCCTGGGGACACCTTGTATGGTCTTTTGTTCACATTGTATCTCTAGATTGCCATTTAGACCCCCCCTTCAAGGTCCAGCCTATCACCAAACTCAGGTAACTACCTAAGAGAGACCACAGCTCTTACACTCAAACTACAAACTCACTGCTGCCCAGCTGGCTCTGACTCTCAGTGTCCCCTGGTTGGGATTCCCAGGCGTCATCTCTACAGAAGTAGATTGCCCAGTGTGGTTCTGTTGTATGTCAACTTGGCTGGGCCTGTTTGAGTGGCTGGGCAGCTAAATAGTTATTCCCCATGATGAGATTGGCAATCAACTCCATGGTGAGATCTACTACAAGCAGCTGAGTAGCTGCTTTAGGGATGTGGTCTGCTTCTAGTATATAAGCAGCAGCTTTGGGAATAGTCAGTCTCTAGCTTATGGCACACTTCAACCCGCCACGTAGCTGTGTTGTTCAGCAGCCTGCCATGCTCTGCCAACCTTGGGACTTCCAACAGATGTGAATTAATGGCCTGCTGTGTGGCACATTGGGACTGTGCCTTTTTACTTATCAACCTTGGGCTTGTCAGTCTCAGCAGCGAGCAGGTGTCTGAGTAAAGAAAAACTTATAGCTCCAGTGGGCCAGGAGCAGGAGGCAGAGCTGAAGCTCACCCAGCTCCTAGAGCCTGGCACTTTGAACTCAGGCTTAAAGCCGCCAAACTGTAAGAAAATAAACTCCTATTTGTTCAAGCATCACATTTGTGGTATATTCTTGTCCGAGTGGTAGTAGGTAACCGGAACACTCAGTCTTCCTTTGGAGGAGCGCTGGTAGGTTTGAACCGCCTGCCTTCTGGTTAGCAGTCCAATGCCTTAGGCATTACGCCCCAACAGTACTCCTGTTTTCAAAAAAAGATCACTCTAGAAAATACACAGCCAACGTGGGCAAATTAGCAAATACACCAACAAATCCTCCTCAAATTAAAAAAATCTAAAATCCTTCCAACTGCCATACACATATTTCCAGACCCCAAGGACTTCTCAACCTGGGTGGGTTAGAACATACATACACATGACAGGTTCTGTCACCGGTAACATACAAGTAGATCATGAAGAGGTCCACTAGAGGTAGGGACATGAGGAAGGTTAGTGGAGAAGATAAAACCCTACTCGGGAGAGTAGGAAAATTCTTTAACAATTATGTGGAAATTGCGATCACAACAAACTAAGAAACAAAAGCTGTGACCCTGCCAAAAGCGAAAGCCCCAACAGAGCTCCCCGGGGATTCGGGCCTAGCCCAGCAGGGGCCGAGTAGGGCTGCCCGAAGCAGAGCACGACGGAATCGAGGTCCAGCTATCCCTAACTCAATTTCCCGAGGTTGCCCACCGGCAGGAAAGCCACTTTATCAATATCTCACCATACCTTCTACATCCGCGTGGAGGACTTAAGCCACAGGGGACGCCATCTACACGCACAGAGTCACGAAACTTCCGGGTCGAGGGATCCAGTCAAGATTCTGCGCACTAGTCGTAGTCCCGCCCCTTGACCTTAGCCCGCCTCCAGGGCGTACTTTAAACGGGTAAATGAGCGCTGTGCGTATACAAACCGAAGCCCCTCCCAATGAGTGTAGGCGTGTCCCCCCCACACTACCACTTAGTTGTTGTTGTTATGTGCCGTGGAGTCAAACCCGACTCACACTACCACTACCACCAAGGAAATATGACCTACCCACTGGCATCGAGTTCATTTTGACTCATAGTGACCCTATAGGACAGAGCAGAACTGCCCCATAGGATTTGCAGCCTTTAAGGAAGCAGACTGTCTCCCGCGGAGCAGCTGGTGGGTTCCAACTCCCGGACCTTTTGTTTAGCAGCCCAATGCTGTAACAATACTACCCCAATAACATCTCTTGCCTAAGGCTGATTTTCCTAAGTCTCTTCAATTCACACGAGCTCCAAGGTTAGAGACAGAGCCAAGGCTGGATTTTCAGTGTGGTACATGTGCTGAAACTATCCGCAATGTTTCTGAGTCAAGCCAGCCATGAAGAGCGTCAGGCAAGTAGCTCTTTGCCGCGGATACCTGGTGGGCTTTGCCCACGTTCCCAGGAGGTGGCGCTGCGCCCTTAGGATGGCGTCTGGAGCTCAACTTGCGAGGTAGAGCTGTAATCTAAGAAAATTTGTAATGAACGAGAAGTTAGAAATGCTTTTCTCATTATAGCTTCTTTGCTTCTAAAAGAGCGGAAATACAGCAGAAAAACCAGGCCAAGAAAATATAAAATTAAAACAAG